CCCAGCCTAAGACAAATATTAAGATAAATAGGTAACCTCTATCATGTTTAAATTAATTTTTCTTTAATTACAAGGGCCAAGATCTTATTTGGCCCCTTGATTATGGAGCTAATAATTAGATAGAGGTGTAGTGAAATCATGCAAGAACATAGAACCAACAGGAAGTGAGAGTGGTGATGATACTTTGAATACAAATTATTAAATTTATAATATGTTCATTAGAGAGAAGAAGTGAATTAGGTCTTGGGCTAACTGACATTTGGAAATATTTTAGCTTCCTTTCCTCTTTATAATTTCTATCACTATACTATAAAAAGGAGCTCTGGTAGCATAGTGCCTAAGGCACTTGACTGCTAATCAGAAGGCTGGAGGTTCAAACCCACCAGCCACTCCTCGCAAGGAAGGTTGGGCAATCTACTTCCATAGTGATATTGCCTCAGAAACCCAAGGAGGGTCGCTATGAGTAGAGTCTGATTCCACGGCACATAACACCACCAACAACAACACTATAAAAATTTAAAATTTCACTCTAGATAAGAACTATTTTACTGTTTCATAATTTATGGAAATATATTTATTCATAAGCATAATTTTACCTTTGAGCAAACTTCAGAAAAGAATTATTGCCAAGATGTATTATAACTTGTTTTCTCAAATGCTTTTCTCATTATCTTCTTCAAAATTTCTCTCTAAAATTATCTTAGGGGCTATGTAATTAGGCTAATTGTGTGTATCCGTATGTGTAGCTTATGGCCATACCAGAAAGCCACCATAGTAAGAACATGGCACAATATGTTTCAACATGCGGCCACAGTGTTTTCAAGGCTGGCCAGGCAGTCAATCATGTGCTAACAGCTGTGAGCAACAGAACTTTGTGTATAATCTCTTTGGTGTAAATAGAAATTGACAATTATTTATAGGGAATAATTAATGCAACTTTTTTAAAAAGTACACACAATTTTCAACCCTTGGCAGCTGTTGAAAAGAAAGGAAGAATGAATATGAAGGATCTTTTTTGACTGACAGAAAAGGCCTGAAGAAAAATAGATGATGTCTGTGACTATCTGTAGACACTGTCTTCCAGAATGTATAGATACATAATTAACTCTTCGAATAATAAGAGTTAAAACTTACAAAAAGAAACAAATCCATTCTCAGTTTAAGTAAATGTAGAAAATCCCAGTAAATATTGTGTTACATACTTTTGTTAATTAATAGAAATTTTGGTAATTTCATGTAGTTCTAGGTTTTTTTGTTTTGTTATTTCATTATTTTATGAAAAGGAGCTCTGGTGGTACAGTAGCTCAGCCATTTGTCTGCTAACCAAAAGGTGGGCTGTTAGAACCCACCAGCCATTCCACCAAAAAAAGATGAGGCGTTCTGCTTCGTAAAGATTTACAGCCTTGGAAACACTCTGGGACATTTCTGTGTTGTCCTATAGGATTGCTTTGAGTTGGAATCAACTTGATTGAAGTGGGTTTTGTTTTTTTGTTAGTTTAAGAAACACAAAAAGTAAATGAAAGAAAAGAAGAGTAGAAGGAAAGTAGGAAAGGACATAAGGAAGGAAGGAATAAAAGGAGAAAGAAAAAAATGTATATATTTATCCCAAGTGAAAATGATTCTAACTTGTTACTGCTATAAATAACATCATTCATTCAAAATTAACTCACATGGTCAAACAGTTAGTTGGAAGAAGTAGCGCTGATTTTATAATTGTGTATTGTAAGAGGAGTGAACTTGTGCTTGCTGGTGAAATATTTTTCTGACAGTGGTTGTCATCAAAAGCCATGTCATATGTTCAGTCACACACATGTATTTAAGTAACTCTTGATCTGTTAAAAAAAATTCATTTCCAAATGTTGATTGTTTACAAGTTTTAATAAGCTAATGGTAACTTTATTAAGAAAATTTTATTCCAAATATAACCAGAAATTAGTATTTCTTCTGCAGCTTTTATCTAAAATATCCCGTGTTCAGCATTTCCACCCTTTCATCTGAACTGAGACTCTACCTCTAAATGAAGCTTTTATCTTGAGAAAGTAGAAGAAAGAAGTGATGATTTTCTCCTGCTTACATAGTGATTTTCACTTTTAAACTTTAATGTCATAGGCACCTATCTTATTTTTACAAAATAACTGTCAATGCTTATATTTGGCAAAAAACATAAAGTAGAATTGTTTAAATAATCATATTGTTATTTGAACTCACATAAACAGAGACTGTGTTAAAGGTGCTCAATGTATTATCTGTGAAAATGTGTCTGTCAAGATAGCCTGAGTAGTGAGTTGTCAGCCATAACCTGACTTTGGTTACTGTGCTGAATGACCATGAGAAGAAAATACCTCATCAAGCCAAACTTCTGTATGTTGTTGTTGTTGTTGTTACATGCTGTCGAGTCAGACCTGACTCATAGCGACCCCTCCTTGGGCTTCCGAGGCAATATCACTAGGCAAGTAGATTGCCCCATCTTCCTTCTGAGGAGTGGCTGGTGGGGTTGAACCGCTAGCCTCCTTGGGTTTCCAAAGCAATATCACTATGGAAGTAGATTGCCCAATCTTCCTTCTAAAGAGTGGCTGATGGGTTTGTACCACCAGCCTTCTGTTTAGCAGTCAAATGCCTTAAGCACTACACCACCAGAACTCCCTTTGTCTGAACAGCATTCTTCAATTTCAACAAAGCAAGTGAGATATATATATATATCTCACTTGCTTTGTTGAAATTTTTTGTCTACCCTGAAAGCGTGCCTAGCATCTGGTATAGTTAATGCTCAAACACTGTTTGATGGAAATACTTTGAGTCAAGTACCTTTGAAGGATGCAAAAACAAGATATGGTTCCTGTTTGGTAATACTACTGATGAGAAGAAAGCTCTGTACTGAAGAAAGGAGCAGTATTATTAAGTTTGCAAAAATAAAATACACTAAATCAATGGATTCAAGGGTAGCAATATGAGAAGAAAAGAAGATGAGAAGGGAAATACTGCAGAATATTTATATTTTGCACTCAAGGGCCAAGTGGAATAGAGGGTCTGAGACTGAACTGCAGTGGCCTCACTCACACTGCATTATGAAAACCCCTCCTTGTGTTAACAACAATCGAAAATGCACATTTTACCAATGGTAATAAAAACTTAGGGATGAAGCAAAAGTCTCTCTTTTCTCCACCTTCAAGAAATTTTTGGAGAGTAGTTTGAAACGGGTTTTTAAAATAGGCCAGGGATAAGATCTGAAGTGGATGGAACTGGATAGTAAACAAGGGAAATTATATTAACTTCATGAGTTTGAGAATTTTACGGGTACCACAGACTCCCCCTGTAGATGGTTGTGGGTTGTGTGATAATGATAATCTAAATGTGCTTTTAAATCCACATTTTGCATAGTGGTCATCACTGCATGGGAAACAAAACCAAGAATAGATTGTAGTAGAGATCATTACTCTTTTGTGGTGACTTTTATGAAAGTGCTTGTGCTCTGTGACTTTGTTGCTTTCCTTCTCTGCTGTGCTCAGTGTAGGTCAAGCTACCCCAAATGATTTGGATAATTAGAAAAGAAAAAACATCAGTCTCTGTTCTGGAAAAGTTTATCACCTGTGGGGACAGGATATGGGGTAGAGTGGTGCTTATGTACAAGTAAATAGCCAACAAAGCAATATGTATGTTTTACATTCTGGTTTAGTTTAGAGTAGACAGTGAGCATTTTAAATTCATAAGAGAGAAACGTTTTTGGCTAAAGTCATCAATGAAATTCTAGCTCCTTGGAAATTTTTAAATTGTATTAATTTGAAGAACTAGTAGATTGTTTTATTAAAAGCTCCAGCTGTACATTTTTGGCTAGTGACATGGTAAATGGATTTTGATGTCTTAAATAAAGAAGTAGCATAATAAAAGCTGTGTTTTGACAGATTGGCCAGGGCATGGCATGTAGGAATGTCTGGAGAATAGGGAGAGCAGAGGCAGGGTGATAATTTAGTATATTCTTAAAATGATCTTCCTTGCTGCCTGTTGTAGTGATCAAGGCATTAATCAGGAGCACGTGGGGTGATAACAAGTGGAATTCTAAGGAACAGCTCATAGAGGAATTGCTAGAACTTTGTAACATTGAATACATAGATTTTATTCAGTGTTTACTTTTAGTTATGTACTTGTGGGTTGCTGCCCAAAAAGTTGGTGATTCAAACTCACCTGGCTGTTCTGCAGGCAAAAGACCTGGCAATCTCCGACTATAAAGGTTAAAGCCAAGAAACCCTATGGGGCCATTCAACTCCTTACATGGGGTCACTTTGTTGTTGTTTTTTGCCGTTGAGTCGGCCCCAACTCATAGCGACCCCTCCTTGGGTTTCCGAGGCAGTATCACTACGGAAGTAGGATTGCCCAACCTTCCTTCCGAGGAGTGGCTGGTGGGTTTGAACCGCCAGCCTTCTGGTTAGCAGTCAAGTGCCTTAGGCACTATGCTACCAGAGCTCCTATGGGTCACTAGGAATAGATTTTAACTGACAGCATCTAACAACAACAACAACTGCCTAGGAAAATGTGTATTATTTTTATTTTTATATTTAATTTTTTAAACAGTTGTATGAAGTGTAGGTACTATTATCATTAAGATTATATAGTTAATTATTGGGAGAAGCTCTGGTAGCATAGTGCCTTAGGCACTTGACTGCTAACCAGAAGGTGGGTGGTTCAAACCCACCAGCCACTCCTGGGGAGGAAGGTTGTGCAATCTACTTCCATAGTGATACCACCTGGGAAACCCAAGGAGGATGACTTGGGTCCGACTCAACAGCACATAACAACAAGAAGTTAATTGTCAGAGCCAGTACCTAAACCTTGGATCTGTCTTAACCCAAGCCTTTTAAAGAATGCTGATTTATCAGAAGCTAAAGAGTAATGCTAACCTTTTTAGTAGGAGTCCAGATGTCAGTCAGGAGTGTTACAAGTCTGGCTTAATATTGACCTTTGGAATCCATATAACACAAAGCTCCTTCTCTCTTTTTTTTCTCTAGTGCGGCTTCATGATAGCATATCAGAAGAGGGCTTCCATTACTTGGTGTTTGATTTGTAAGTACACACTTTGTGTTAATTTATTTTTGTAATCTATTTTAAGGCCCTTTTTAATTAAACATGATTTTTTCTCATTGTGCACTTCAAATTAATAACAATTTTAATATTTTGAAATGTATTCAAGTTACATTTAACTCTAACCTTTGAAAATATGACTGCTCTACAGTGTTTATTTAAAATTTAACTTTATAAGTGTACAAATTTTAAGTCTGTTTCCTTTTGGATTATCCATTGTGATATCGTAAGTAATTACCAGTTTGACTTTAGAGTAAAAAAAAAAAAAGTTGCTTATATAAGCACATTTTCTTTTGGATTTTCTTTATGTACAATTTATGATCTCACATAAAAAGAACCCAAGGAAAGGTGGATCTAGGATTGCTTAATTTGGGGGTTCAACAACATCATCAAAATCCCATCCCTTACTCAAGCATTGGTTTTGTCCTTAGACTGGTGTGGTTCAAGATATTGCATACAGACATGGAAATGTCCAGTGGAAAACATGAAACTGTACAGTCGAAGACATTGTCTCTTGGTCTTCTTAAGAATGAAAAACTTAACCAGTTCAGTGCCCATTCAATCTCATTGACCAGGACTGGGTTAAATCCCTATGCCTAAACCAATCACTACCAAAAGGATAGAATTAATAAGATTGACTTAGACTACTCAGGATTTATAAACTGAGTTTTTATTAGCAAACATAAACCAAAGGGTTAATAATGGTTCCTGGGTAGTCAACCCATGTTGCCTGCTTTGGATAGCAAGGATATAATAAGACAAACCACACATATAGTAGGAATTTACTACACATAGTAGGAATTTTCGGAAGGAAGGTTGGGCAGTCTACTTCCGTAGTGATACTGCCTCAGAAACCCAAGAGGGGTTGCTATGAGTTGGGGCCAGCTCGACAGCACATAACAACAACAACAGTAGGAATTTCATCAATATACACTTTTTGGAAATCAATTTGATATTACATGTATGAAAAGACTCAAAAGTGCCCATACCCTAGTGGTAAATCTTACTTCTAGGAACAAAATTCATGGAATGTATACGTTTCATACACATAAAGCTTTATGTCCAAAGGTGTTAGTGGTAGCATCGTTTATAATGGGGGGGGGGGTGGAGATGGAAAAGAAGGATGCAAAAATAGAAAAACGGTTGTATAATGACAGTACTTTCATATAATGGAATAATCTCTAGAGCTTTAAAGTGGTATTTACAAATGACTTTTTGAGAAAGATTAAGTTTTGTTTTTGAAAAAGTATTAAGTCACATAATATGAATATGGTGGTACTAGATTTAGGAGCTCTGCTGCTATAGTGGTTAAGGCATTTGGCTGCTAACCAAAAGGTCATTGGTTTGAAACCACCAGCCACTCCACCAAAGAAAGATGAGGCAGTCTGCTTCTGTAACGATTTATAGCCTTGGAAACCCAGTGGGGATTGCTATGAATCAGAATCAATTCAATGGCAGTGAGTTTGGTTTTGGTTTTTGGTACTACACAAACGCAACGCAACCACAGCCGTGGAGTCAGCCTCGACTCATAGCGACCCCTCCTTGGGTTTCTGAGGCAGTATCACTATGGAAGTAGATTACCCAACCTTCCTTCTGGTTAATTCAACTGTTTAATGATGTCATGAAGAACCACCTTCTTTTCATCTTTTTGTCTGCTCCTTTTAGCACATGGTTTTTTTTCATGTGCAGGCTCCTCTTATGGTCATGAGGTGGCTGCCTCAGCTTCAGGTTTCACAGTGACTTCCAAAGGCAGAAAAAGGGAATGCAGATTCTACTGCTTATACTTTTTATCTATGAGAAAAAATGTCCCATCAGTCCCTCAGAAAATATCTGCTAATGATTCCTTCTTTGGAATTGCTTCTCATGTCTGTATCTAAACCAGGTATTGGCAAAGGGAATGGAATTACAACAAGCCAATCATAATTCTGTCAGTAGGTCTGGGTAGGAAACTTACCTCCTTTGAATCACATAAATCCAATGAAGAACTAAATCATGATTCTGTTATCAAGAATGAAGGAGAGGTTTGCCTGGTGAGTTACCGTGCAAAGGATGCCTGCCATATTAGTGATCCATGTGTATGCTGAAGAAAAGAAACAGTAGTTTTGCTTATGAGCAGTCCTTCTGCAGAGGTTTCTCTCCACAGGCACAGTCCATCCATGGCTAACTCTACTTCATTTGACACCACTCTATGCTGCAATGGTAGTCCTTCCCCTTCAGCCCTCTCTTGCAGGTAATATTTTTATTTTCAATGTAGCTGATATTTTTATTTTCTCTGATGTTTTCTTCCTTCTTGATGTCCCAAGATTCCTTCTTTCATCATTTTCCTTTTGTTTGAAGAACTTCCTTTAGCCATTTTTTAGGGTAGGTCAGCTCGCAATAAATTCTTAGTTTTTCTTTTTCTGAGAATGTCTTGATTTTCCCTTTGCAAAAAGGGCAAGGAGACCACATGTTCTGACCTCCTCTAATCCCACAAGAAGAAGACAGAATCCCCATCAATAGCCCAAGGCCTATTACTTCTAGGCTGGACATGCTGCCTCCCTCCAGCCCTTTCACCAACTGTTCCTCCCAAAGCACCACCACATCTCTCTTGGGTTCGATAATTTGCTGCAGTGGCCACAAGAACTCACAGATTATGAGGTTTATTAGGGAAGCACCACAGGCTACAATTCAAGTTCAGGAAAAACGCTCAGTCTCTCTCCCAGCCCACCATCTCTCAGTCAAAAGTCTCTCACAGTCTCTCTCCCAACAGTGCATGCCCCTCGGTGTCTCACTCAGCAATGCGTGTCTCTTGAGTCTCTTTTCCAGCAGCGCATGTCTCTTCCAGCAGCACGTGTTGCTTGTAGCGGCACGTCTCTCGCAGGAGTGCATCCTTCCTCAGCCAGCAGTCAGAGAGAGTTCTGCCTCTAGGAGGCCTCCTTTTGAGCCTGGCAGAGTGTCCTAGTTTGCCAATCACAGCATCAGAACTCTAAGCACCTGAGAGAGAGTAGGAACCTCCCAGAACATTGTTTTGTGCCACTCCCAACAGAAATACTCCAGAGGGGACAACTTTAGCAATCAGGAGCTCCTCAGTTGCTCATAGCAAATCCCACCTTGGATTTTACAAAGACTTAAGGGTAGAAAAGCGCCACACTAAGTAATTTACTACACTGCACCCTTCATTCCTGAAGGATATTTTTGCTGGACATAGAATTAGTTGGCAATTCTTTTCTTTGAATGTTGTGCCACCTACTTCTGGTTGCTTAGTTTTTGGTAAGAACCCTGCTGTCATTCTAATTATTTTCCCCTTATAGTTGAGGCATTATTTCTCTCAAGCTGCTTAAAAAATATTCCCCTGTCTTTAGTTTGGCTATGATAGACCTTGGCCTAGATTTCTTAGGGTTTATCCTATTTGGGATTCGCTTAGCCTCTTGAACCTGTAAGGTATGTCTTCTACCAAATTTGGGACATTGGAAGCCTTATTTCTTTGCGTACATTTTCTGCCTCACCTTCTTTCTCCTCTTCTTGAATGCTGATAATATAAATATTAGACATATAGTTATGCATAGATCCCTGATGCTCTTTTACTTTTGTTATTTTTCTGTTTATTTTTTTGTTGTACTGATTGACAGCTTCTGTTGTTCTGTCTCCAAGTTCAATGGAGTTACTCTCTTCTCACCATTCTGCTATTGAACCCATCAATTGAGTTTGTTTCGTTTTTGTTGTTTTATACTGTATTTTTCAGTTGTACCAGTTCCATTTGGATCTTCTTTATATCTGCTATTTCCTTTTTGAGATTTCCTGTTTTGTTTTTGTTTGTTTCATGTATACTTTTATTTGTACATTGAGGAATTTTATTATGGCTGCTTTCAATCCCTGTCTGATAATTCCAACAGCTTTGTCACCTTTGTTGATGTCTCTTGATTGTCCTTTCTCATTCAAATTGACATTCTCTTGGTTCTTGGTATGATGGGTGATTTGCATTGTATCCTGGTGCCAAAGGGGCAGGGAGGCCGCATCTTCTGACCTCCTCTAACCCCACAAGAGGAAGACAAAATCACTGTCAGCAGCCCAAGGCCTATCGCTGCCAGGCCAGACATGCCGCCTCCCTCCAACCCTGACACCAGCTATTCCTCCTACAGCACCCACCACCTCTCTGCTGAGTTCGATAATTTGCTGCAGTGGCCACACACAACTCACAGATTATGGGGCTTATTAGGGAAGCAACAGGCTATAATTTAAGTTCAGGAACAAACTCAGTCTCTCTCCGCCACCATCTCTCAGATGACAGTCTCTCTCCCAGCAGTGTGTGTGCCTCAGTGTCTCTCTCCCAGCAGTGTGTGTCTCTCGGTGTCTTCCAGCTGGCAGTGAGAAATTTCCTCTGCTTCTAGGAGGGCTCCTTTTGAGCCTGGAAGAATGGCAAACTAACCAATCCCAACATCAGAATTCTATACAGCTGAGAGAAAGCGAACTTCCCAGAATACTACTTTGTGCTGCTCTCAACAGAAATACCCCAGGTGGATAACTCTAACAATCAGGAGTTACTCGGTTGTTCATGGCAAATTCCACCACGGAGTTTACAAAGGTTTATGGCTAGAAAAACAATACCAGGTAATTTACTACACCACATCTAGATACTTTGGGATTCTGGATTTTTTTATTTTATATTTTTTAAGGAGCTCTGGTGGCATAGTGCCTAAGGCATTTGACTGTTAACCAGAAGGTTAATGATTCAAACCCACCAGCCACTCCTCAAAAGGAAGACTGGGCAATCTACTTTCATAAAGTTTTACCCACTTCAAAACTCCAAGGGGTCACTATGACTCAAAATTGACTTGATGGAAGTGAGTTTGGTTTTTGGCTTCTGGATTTTATTTAAATCTTGTTTTATCAGTCTTCTCTAAACCATACCAGTGAGAGTAAAAAGGCACCTCATTACTATCAGGTGTGGATAGAAGGTTAGTTTCCTCACTCAGCCTCCGTTAAAATCCTAGAGTTGGGGGAAC